CACGGAGAATAACTTTGACATGGAACAACAGTCACTGTTTATAGAAAAGAAAATGGAAATATTTTTTTATATTATTTTTTATTAAATATTATATTTTCAGAAATAAATAAATAATATATATATATATATATTTCTGTGTACAGTGATGACTGTTTCATCTAAAAGTATATCTATATATAATTTTCAAACACCACATTAATCATTATTTTTAATCTCTACAGGACCATAGTGAAAATGTTCGATAAAGTTCCTGGTACTGCAGTATTCTCAGTAACTGTCCTCTCACTCTTCATCTCCCATCACTGTATGCGTCATGTGGTCGCGGCGGAAGTGACATAATCCGCTCCTGGTGGAGGTCGGCCAGACCTCCGAGCTCAGACCACACAGTCGCAGACCGAATATTGGTAGGGGGTGGGGGGGGGGTTGTTGTGAGGAACAGTCCGGATCTTCTCCTAACCCGTACCAGGTGCCTCTCTCCCCGACTCCGGACCAACCACACTGCGGAGCAGGGAGTGATTATCAGCACATTCGCGCCGTCGTTTTAGCCAAAACTGCCACATTGAAGAGTTGTGATATATCGATATCGGTACGCGTGGCCGCAGACACGGGTCCGTGACGTAAGTCGAAAAACTGCAGCTCACAGGAGAAGCGTCTGGAGGGCGCTGTCCGACGGCAGTAACGTAGATTCAAACCGACTTATTTGGGGTTTGGGAGGAGCTGGTCTTTATAGAAGGTTCTGTCAACAGCAATCACTGGGACGGAGCACAATAAAAGCCTTTGTGTTTGGTGTGTGTGTGTGTGTTTGGTGTGTGTGTGTGTGCTGCACAGAACAAATGGATTCCACGGTTTTCTGTAACAGGCTGCTGGAAACATGACTTCTCCTCAGAATCACGTGTGACCGGTTCCAGTTGTTTAAGTCGTTAACGTAACAAAAAAAAAACAAACAAAAAAAACATAGTGATTGTTTTACATGAGGAAGAGCTGGTATCGTGAGCAGTCGATGTTAAAACACAGACGTTCATAAACACACTGAAAAATCGCGATATCTCGTTTCACGATACTGTATTGATTATTCTACAACACAGTATTGATTTTTTTTTTAGTAATAATTAACAGTCAAATATTTATGACGTTACAAATTTAGGCTGACAGTTTTCGCCGTACCTAGATTATCACAATATATCACAATATATTGCATCGTTGCCCCGTATCGTGATACGTATCGTATCGCCAGATTCTTGCCGACCCACACTCTTACTGTACACCATGACGAGTTAATACAAATACTACAGTACTGTAAAAGTCCAGTGTACTTTTACAGTACTGTCGATGTCGTTGTCCCTTTTTTTCACTTTAAAAGTGAAAAAGAGAAACAGAAGGCACCAAAAATAAACTGCTAAAAATAAAAAAAAATAATAAAAGTCATGATAATAAAACCTGACGTCCTACTGGTACACGACATGTGTAGTCGTTCACAGCACAGTATGGAAGCGAAGCCGGGCCTCTTTAAGAAAATGTACGGCTTTTATCTTTGGTCCGGCTGAAAACGTCAGTTCCACTCACAAAAAAAAAAGAACTTTTTCTGTGTGTTCCTCGGGGACCGCTCCTCTGAGCTCGGTGTACGGCGAGGGTCCCTGAGCCACAGCTTCTCTCTCCAGTAGCTCACTTTCACTGCTCTCCATAAATCCTAACTGCTTCTCTTCTTCTCCTTGAAGCCAACGTAGAAATTGATGTCATGTGTTTTTTAAAGAATGGCTGGTTGTGGGGAAAAGCTGCGACCTCTGTTTGAGGTCATGGGAA